GCAGCATCGATAGTTTTCCCAGCACAGTCAGCAGGGACAATTTGAGTTTCTAGAAAAACCCAAAAACCCAAAAACCAAACCTTTCTTACCAGAGAAGAGAGCAACTTTTTCTCTCGGTGTATGCAGCCCCGAAGAAAGAACAAAAATTCGTCCATTAAATGGGGCTTAGGAGCAGCAGCAACAAAGTAACTGCACTTCCTGCGAGGCGATATATATATAGATGTATATTCCGAGGGCGGACGAGAGGGTGCTGCGAGGGGGGAGTGGCTCAAGCTGGCTGACAACTTAATATGAGGCACGAACCAAGTCAACCAAGCCGGCCAAGAAGCCTCAAGTCTCTCAAGCCGCATGTCAAAAAAAAAAAAAAAAAAAAAAGGAAGGGGAAAGGGAGATAGTGGAAAGGGGGAGGAGGGAGGGAGGGAGGTTGGCGGCTGAAATCTGGCGGAATGCTGCCGACAACTTAAAGGCGTTAATGGTCGTTTGTTTTATGAGAAATTGCCGAAACGTGAGCGGCATTCAGAATTTCAGCTGCTGGGGAAAGGAATCGCTGGCGAGAGACGACATCAAAGCGCCCAGGATCAACAGTCGCCAGGCGTGCTCTGCTGTGGTCCGCTTTGGTTGTATTTTTTCCAGCAGCTTCTGTTCTCCTCCTCCTCCTCCTCCTTGTGGCCAAGGGACGTGACAACCTTGGAGTGGCTTCAACATTTAAATGAGTTTGTGCAACATAACAAGAAACATAAATATTAGCCTGAAAAGCATTGTCTGTCTGTCCAGCTGCAGTGAACGATGAACTGACACCTGCCATTTGCCATTTGCTATTAGCTATCTTAGAATGTTGCTCTGGGATACGGGGTATGATGGGTTGTTTGGTCATTGAAAAGAAGCAATCAGAGAGAGAGAAAACCCTTTTTCCCTAAAATAACTTTCCTGAAGTCCGAAAACACCTCGCATTGCCCCTGTTCGTTTTCCCTTTGTCGTGGGGAAACTAATTTCCTCTCTATTGTAAGAGCCTCCTCCCACATGAGTCTCGGGATGAGCAGGTGGTTGCCGGGTTCAGCCGGGCTAAATGACAATAATGGAGGTGGAAAGACGACAGCAGGTCAGTTCACAGTGGCAATCAGCGCGCGGCAGCTGAATTGAATTATTTGTTTATGTCAGCGAAATGAAAGGTTTCCCAGGGCATTCCAGTGGCTAAAGGTTTTTCTTTTGATTTGATTTTTATGTTTGAACTCAAAAAAAGTTGATTCAAAGAGCAGAAATGGCTTGGAACTAGAACTTAATCAGAGCTAGCTAAGGTAGTTAGAAGTTATCCGATTTTCTTGCAGTGAAAATTCCATTTCTACGCCCACGGAGAGAGCTAGAGATATGGGGGAAAAACTAATTAAATCAAAGCAATTGCTAAAACGTACAGTTTAATTAAGAACATGAGCCAGAAGAGCGGGCAGCACTTAAGATTTCCTGCTGAGCGGGATCGGAATTGGAATCGGAATCTGTGCATAGATCTCTGTGGGTCCCCAGGTCCCCAGGTCTCCAGGTCGCTCCCAGCTGAATTTTCTGCCTGGAAATCTTGGAATCTCAGAATCTCGGCATTTCGGAATGATGATTGACGGCCGTCATCGCGTAATCTTCTCTAGGCGTAGGATTATGGCGACAATTGCTTTGCACTTGCTCCACAGACCCAGATTCTTTGGCTTTGGATGTCACTCGATGCACTTTCAACCTCCATTCCGCTGCCGCTCTTTACCTTACTTACCCCTTCTCAACCTCTCTGTGTGTGTGTGTGGCAATGTGGCAGTGTGGCAATGTGGAACAGGAACTCTGGCTGTGTCTGGCTGTGTTCGCCGGGCAATTACCTTGACGCTAGTTTTTAATCAAATTTTCACATGCTTCTACCCCCAATTTCCTTTTACGTTTGCCCATTTTCCTACCTCCCCCTCTCCGCCCGCTTACCTGTGATAATTGTGGCCGAAACACAAAGTTGCCTCCTGCCTATTTCGTAGACACTGTCTGGGGCTCTGCCTAATTCTTGATACCCTTTTTTGGCCAGGGCTATGCTGGCAATGTTTTCCACTTTGAGCAGAGTTTTCATTTCAGATTTGGATTGCATTTTCATTTGGCAGGGAAATCCTTGCTGTTTATGTTTTTTAACCTTTTAGAAATGCATTCGGAATTCGCTTTTTGCCAAACTGCGCATCCTGGCTCTTTGCTCTTTTTCCCGTTCCGTTTGTTTGTTTTATTTTCTGTGGTTTATGGGGGGGTTTGCCACGCCCCAGGACAACGGCCCACCGTCTGGCGTGCCCTTTGGCCACAAATTGTGCGCAGTCAGTCAGTCAGTCAGTTAGTCAATAACTTTTTCTTTCGGTTTTCATCGGAGCAGTGCAGAGGAGGAGCGGAAGGGGGGGAAAATACTTCTTCATGTGCGATCGATTTAACGAGAATTGGCCGGCTGTCTGCCGCGATTTTTGAACATGATGAAAATAAATTGCCAGCACCAGCATATGTGCGCCAAATTTATGGCTCGCCCAAAAAAGAAAAGGGGGAGTGGCCCAGTCTCAGTGTGTAATTTGTCTTGCAGGAAATGAGCCCAGGCTGGAAAAGCAGAGGAAAATGCCTTGTCCATTTGAGGGTTCAATGCACGCATACTGATTTGATTGGGCGGTGGTCGGTGGTCGGAGGTTTTTCGTTTTGTTTGTGGTTGCAAATCGCGACCTTCCGCCCCAAAACTGACCCACTTGGTGTAGCCTCCCTTCCACCTCCTTCCTTCTCCACCCACACTCGCGTGAGCAACAAGTTGAGACAATTGACAGTAGCCAGGCAGGCATTCTGCGTGCTTATTTTGTTTTTTTCTGCTCTCCTTCCTTCTTGTTTTTCCCCCCGCTTTTCACTTGCATAAATCTAGATGCAGTTGCAGATGCAGTTGCAGATGCATTTGCGCGAAAATGGGTTCAAGGACACGGCGTTGTCATCTAATTGGGCGGGCACATAAATAACATTGCTCATTGTTTCCACGCCAGCGTGTATTTATTTACTCATTTTCACCGTTCATCGTTCACCGTTCGCCATTGCGTATGCGTAATAATTCATTTCGAGACTCATTTTGGGGAATGCATCTGGCAGTACAGTGGGCACAGCTAGTTGAAGTACTCTATTGTTTTATATGCTGTTTGGGGGAAAAAAACTGAAAAGAGTCATTAAATTTGTAGAGAAAAATCTGTAAGACAGTGATTCCAAAACTGCCGTTGCTTGGTTAATGCAGTTTGGGAGCCACTGTACTGATCAGGCCATGCTGCTTTTTGCATAAGCGAACAGCTCGAGTAATCACAATAAACGCCAGGAATCTGTGTCAAGCATTCCGACCGTCCGTCCAACGGACACTGCCTAAAGCAATCCGCCGGAGGCTATCCAGGCTAGCAGATGGTTTTGAGATCGAAAAACTTGAAAATCAGGGAAAACATTTAATATATCTCAAACTGTACCTGGAATCATAATCTTAGTTTACTTTTGAGATCTTTAAGGTAGTATCGATGGCTTAGACCTGATTTTGGCAACATTATTATGTACAACACACACACACACTATAAGCAAGCACAAACTTGAGGGCCAAACTTCAGAGTTGTGGCACGTGACTTCATAAGGCAGCCAGCCAGCCAACCAACCACCCACCACCCTCAAAGCTCTAAAAAAGAATCAGACACAGCGTAGACAGAAGGCAGACAATGCTTAAAACTGAAACCAAAATTCCTCACTTTGATTTTGGGCAAGTGAAAAGTGTTTAAGGACATAGTTTACCTTGGCCTAAGGCTATGGAATTTCCCAAGTTAAATTTAAGGAAAACTTCTTCTATATTCCATATGCTGCTCTCCCACCTTTTGTCCCACCTCCGAGTGCTATCTGCCATTCCTGTGTCTTTCCATTATCTTTTTGTTTATCGAAGTTTTTTCGATAAGAGGATAGAGTGTGCTGGGGCCATGCACATTTGGCCCACATTCCAATTCTTACACTGGAAAAAATCAAGCTGATTAGGAAAACTTGGTTAAGTTTGTTAAGTTAGCCAAGTCAAAACACAGATGTTTACAGTTAAATAATCAGTTAACGTTCAAGTTAAAGTTAAACTCAATTTAAATATTATCCAAAGTCTAATATATATACTATTTTCCCTCTGTGTATGAAAACGTGGGAAGAGCAGAGCTGAGGAAAAGCTTTCCTCGGGCAAAAAGAGAGCATCGAACATCAATTTTGTGGCCAGATATGATCGTTTTCGGGCTTTGATCAGGGGCTGAGGGGTCGTCAGAAGAGGGCGGTGGCCTAGTGAAAAGGGGCGGGGCTGTGTGTGTGCCCCACACATGTTGGACATGCGGGCCAAGTGCTTTTTATCAGCCAAAGGCAACAAGAAATATGACGTAGCACGCGCGTCTTTCCCTGACACTTCCACTCAACCGAAAAAGGGGAGGGGTGGGAGAGGAGGAATTACAAGAAATGTTCGATTACCGAAAGAGAAATGAAAAGAAATTGACACTTGAAATCAATGCTCAATTAAAAAGTCGACCAAAATAGATCGGAAGTGGGCAAGAAAGGGGTGGGGAGTTCTGCTAAGAATGGAAAAAAAAAAGATAAAAAGAGGCATAGGGCGGGCTAGCTAGCTCAAAGTATGAAAATTCTTAATGGGTTTAGTGGGACTTAACAGAACAGAATGTGTTCTTATTTAAGCTTATGAAATGTGAAATTTCGATAACAGAACTCACGAAGATAATGTACATTTTCCGGCTGGCATTCATGTTAAAGCTAACAGTTCTGTTAAGCTTTGTGAATTAGGTGAATATCTAGCCAAGACACAATGACTGTAAAACTACATCAGCTCACTTCCTTGCTTAGCATGGACAGCAACCGCTGTGGCAGCTTTAAACAAGAAAAAACCTTTATAAAAGCTGCTCGGTGTGGGGAAAACTTAACTTAACTGAAAATGTATTAACATCCTTTCTTGGTTTTTTTTATTCTTTTAGCAAATCTTGAGTCTCAGCGATGACCTGGACTTCATGCTGGCGGACGAAACATCGCTGCAGGGCATCAACGAGTCCGAGGGACAGCTCATTAAGGATGACGTTGTGGAAGATGATGACTTTCTGGAAGACGATGAGAGCCTGAAGTCCGTAGAGGAGGATTTGCCAGAGAAGGACGAGTCTACGCCCAACTGGTTCAGCCGGAGTGTCCATCGTGTCCGACGCTCCATCAACCGACTCTTCGGCGCCGATGACGAGGTCAAGGCAGAGCAGAAGCAGCAATCTAAGCGGGCCAAGCAAAATCGCGCTGCTGCCATGGAGCGGCAAAAGGAACTTCGCGCAAGGTACAAGGAGAACCAGAACCGCCAGAAGCAGGTACGAGCAGAGCGCCAACTGGAGAAGCAGCGCTTGGCCAAACGGGCCAACAATGTGGTCTTCAATCGCGCCACCGATCCTCGCAAGCGGGCATCCGACCTATACGACGAGAATGAGGCATCCGGCTACCATGACGACGACACCACCTTCTGTAAGGTCATTCTAAAGTTAGTTAACTATTAAAATAATTCATATTTCTCTACTTAGATCGCACCTACTTTGTGGTCTCTGAGCCTTACTCCAACGACTACAGGGATCGGGAAAGCGACCAGTTCCAGAACCTGGAAAAACTCCTCGACGACGATCTGCGCAACTTCTTCCATCGCAATTACGAGGGCAATGATGACGAAGAGCAGGAGATCCACACCACTCTGGAGCGGGTGGAGTGAGTTGGAATATCAATTTCCCAAGCACCTTGTTACCATTTTCTAATTCCTCTTTCATTCCACTTTGTAGACCCACCAAAGACAACTTTAAGATTCGCGTCCAACTGAAGATTGAGCTGCCCAATTCCGTCAACGACTTTGGCAAAAAGTTGCAGCAGCAACTGAATATCTTCAACCGGATCGAACGTCTGGGAGCCTCCGACGATGACATATTCTCCTTCATGGAATCGACTGGTGAGTTCTTAGGGAGGCCTCTCTCTCTCCCTCTCTCTCTATCTCTATCTCTTCCTGCGACTATCTGCGTTGCTTTGGTGTGAGGTGCCGCTTGTAGTAATGATTACCTTTCTATTTCCCCAAACCAAGGGATGCAAACTTGACCAGGAATGGTAATCTATTTGAAACTTTCTTAGCTTGATCAGTTTGCATCCCTCTTCCCTCCTACACTAAATCACATTACCCAAACTTTTTCTCTATCCAAAACCCTGAAAATCAATCAATCAAAAGAAGATACTGTTGGCCATGGTGGGGCTCAAGGGGTGGCGAAACCGCGGGTGGATGTATCTGTAACACCAAGTGGAGTAAATACATATCCTGAAGTAAATCCAGTCACCGTCCGTGAAGGTTTGTCAATTTATCTGCGAAATACAACGAACCGGAAGCTACGAGATTGCCCCAATGTGTGATTAACCCGGCAAGGCTCGTCGAACTGCGAACTATAGTAAACTATCGCTAACATGATCGTGTGGGTCTGCTCTGGGTTTTATTTTCTCATTGATTGGCTTTTAACTTTCGAGGGGTTTTCGAAAAGCGTTTTTTGGGTAAAAAATGAAATGAAATCCGGAGTAGACCTTAATGTGCTTAAGGAAGTGACCTGTGTGTTTGTGTGTACGTGTGTGCCCTGAACGTCTTTCTCATCAACGAATTTGTGTTGTCATCCAAAATGTCATCCAAACTTTTCTCTGTCTCCTCATTTCTGTGATCTTTGTCTCAAATACTGTCTCTACGTCTTTTTGGGAAAATTGCCATCAAGAATTGCCACGCCCCCAACGCTAATCAACTTTGTGACCTCACAGATTTCTATGAAGAACCAGTCGAGGTGGCATTGCCCAAGGAAGAGGTTGAGGGCTCCGGCAGCGATGACGCCACCTGTCGTGGAGATGCCACCTTCACCTGTCCCATCAGCGGCAAGGTCATTTGCGATGAAATGCGCTGCGATAGGGAGACCCAGTGTCCCGATGGCGAAGACGAGGAATTCTGCAACTATCCAAAGGGTAAATCTCCCAGAGAGTTCAATCCCCAGCAGCAGCTCATCATAGATCGTTCGTCTAATATCTAACATTCATACTAAAACTTAAACTGAAACTAAAACTGAAACTGAAACTGAAACTGAAACTGAAACTAAAACTAAAACTAAAACTGAAACTGAAACTGAAACTAAAACTAAAACTTAAACTTAAACTTAAACTTAAACTTAAACTTAAACTAAAACTAAAACTGAAACTTAAACTGAAACTGAAACTAAAACTAGAACCATTCTTGATGGAAACTCACTCATAGAGCTGCTGATATTACTTCGATAATTCTATCGGAAAGCAATCGAAAGCAGCTCTACATCCCTCTGCCCATCACTTAACTAGAAACTAGAATCGTTCGCTCATTTCCATTTGATTTTCGCTTTTTCGATTGATTTCGTTTTGTTAATTTCGATTACTTTTTTTCGTATCTCCTTTTGGTTTTTTTTTGACGTGGCTCAGTTTGCACTGAGGATCAGTTCAAGTGCGACGATAAGTGTCTGCCGCTCGATAGGCGCTGCGATAGACGCATCGATTGCGATGATCAGACGGACGAGGCCGGCTGTAATTGGCCACCCAGCAATGAGGGTAATAATGACGAAGAGGCTCCGCGTCCAGATGAGGATGAGCCCCTAGAACCAGAACCTAAAAATGATCCCGAACCTGATACTGGAGATGATGAAGATCGCGAAGAATTACAGGGTAAGTTTTTTGGCTTTATGTTTTTGTTTTTTTTTTTCAGATTATTTTCGTTTTTTCATTTGATTTTGTTTTTGTGCTGATTTCGATTCGGGTTGGTATTATCTAAGATATAGCTCTAGCTTAGATCCTTCTCGTCTAGTAAGAAGGCTAACAACGGGCATCTTTGAAGTGACTTTTTCCGGGGGCATTTCGGGTGATCTCATTGCGTTTTCGATCGTTTAGCTGTCCGCATACCGAACTTTGCTCTCTCTCTATGTAATGGCCAAATAAATTCCGCATATTAATTGGCCCGATAAACTAATATTTCCACTGAGTGGCATGCCACTCAGCCATTCCATTCATGTGCTGGCCCGCTCTCTCTGTAATATCTTTTTGTATTTTATTTATGGCCTTTCGCGGGGGTCGTTTTTGTGTGTTCTTTCAACTTGAATTAAGCTTACTCTCGCGGCCCATCAATTGGGTTAAATATTTTGATTTTCTAATGGATTTCCAATGCATCGGAATCCATTGGACCCCATCTCTTGGCCTCTTTTGGCACGTTCTTCCACTTAACTTTGCTTTAAAGGCATTTCTGGCCTGGCATATATTTTTTGGCTAATTTTTGTTATTAAGAAAGAAATACTATCAGGAGGAGGGGGAAAGGCCGCCTTACTGCCTACTCATTGATTTTGCTCTTGATTTAGTTTCCTTTCTAAGAACTAAATTTCCAAAATTTTTGCCCTGCCACTTGCCCTCCCAAGCATGACCCTGAGAACACTTTGCACCCACCCCCCACCCAATTCAGTTTTTTGTTTCTGTGGCAGCAACCGAACTCATGCTGTGCAAATTGCAGCGAGAAAGGAAGCGAAAACAGAAAACACACATAAATGTAAATAGCAGCAGCAAAGACAAAAAGGCGAAACAACAGCGTTGTACCAAAAAGTGAAATTACAAACCAACTTGCCACCTCCCCAACCACACCCACACCTCGCCCGAAAACCACCCCACAAGCCGCAATTCTAGCAGCCCAAAAAACCCGATTACAATATCCATGAAATATGCCACAAAAGTCGCTAGCGAGCGAGTCTCCCTGCGAGAGAGAGAAAAAAATATGTTATATAGATGGTGATTTGGGGTCTGACAGCAGGCATTGGGTGTGTGATGGGGAGAGAGGGTGGGGGGATGGGTAGCTGCACTGTGTCGACAGCTAACAGCAAAAACAATTTGCAACAGATTAAAATTACCCCTAAGCGTATTATAAACTTAAATAATCCTCTGGCAGTGCAAGAACAACAAGGGAAGGGGGGGGCCAAACCCGAAATCTACCGAATCTCTGGACGGACTCCTTATTTCCCGCTCGCTTTTACTACTTTTGGGGGGCGTGTTAAGTGCTGTCAACGAGATTAAATGCAATGTCAGAGGTCGCCACCCATCCACACGCACCAAACAAAAAGAAAAAGTTGTGTCCTTGGAAATTTAATGAATTTTCAACACTCCAGGGTTTGCCTCCTTCGAAAAAGCCAAGAAAAAGCTGGCCAAAAAAGGGGGTGGAAAACAAGGGATACGTTGGAATTAGTTGGGTTAGTGTTTAGATGTCTTGTTGGATGAACTCTTTTTGGCCAAACTGCAGTCTTATTAATCAAGAAATTAGTGGCTAAGGAAGTGTTTAAGAATATTAACTGATATAAGAGGAAAAAACGTAACTTTCTTGCTGAGAAAACTCAACTAGAAAACTCTTTCCAGATTCAGATTCAGATTTTCAGATTCTTGGACAAGGCAAGGGACCTTGAGTTGGATTCTTCACTTCGGTTGCCCTTTTTTTTTTTGGGTTAATGAAGGCAATATCCGTGGTTCTCAATGCAGCTATACTTTATACTTTTTTATGATACTTTTTTGTCGTTTGGAAATCCGAAACTTTGTTGGCTTTTCGAATGCTTTCGAAAGTGCGTCAGCGGAAGCTGTGCTCACAGCTTGCAATTGAAGCTTGAAAATTGTATTTTCAGAATCAGAATCTGTGTGCGTGTGAGTGTCTGCTTTTATCATTATGTTATGTAGTTGGGAAATCTAATTACTCCTCCCGGCCCCACCCCATTTTGTAATTTGGTAACCAAAGTTGAATTTATGAAGCACACATATTTGTTGCTGTGCACTTTTGCGGCTTCATTGGATTTTTGTTGATTAAATTTGGCAAAGACAACTTGCACTTTTCCTCGTTCTTTTTACTGTTTTTTTTTTTGTTAACCCTTTTTGGTTTTTTTTGTACGAGTCAATTAGCGGCTTCAGTTTGCCTGAACTGTGTTAAATGGCTGCAGATTTCAATGTGCAACCACACACACAAACAGCACCAAAACAATGCTCAAATGGACAAGGAAAGTGGGCAACATCTAGGTGGCCGGGCCTGGGTTGGTGGCCACACATATGCAAATTGAATTTGCCAGCCAGCCAGCCAGCCAACGCTTTTCTTTTCTCGCCAAGCGCCAAAAAGGGCGAAAATTAAGCCAAGAAAGAAGTACACAAACTGGAAAATAGACAAAATATATAGAATAGCTGGGTGTTGTTGTTTATACTAAACAGAGAAGACCTGAAGATACCCTGTAAAAAAAATAGTGATGAAAAATAAGTTGCTAGCTTTAGTAGCAGTTCAACTAGTGACTACCCCTGACAAGGGCCCTAAATCATGTTCGAAGAGCCATAAATTTTAGGAATGTTAAATAGCTGTGAGCTGTCACAGTTTGTGAGTCACATTTAGAGTTTCAGTTACAGAATATTTATAGAAATTTGATTCGATTTAAAGATTTTCCTAAGTCCCAACTACCCTTGTGTCTCAGAGACCTGTGAAAAATCTGTGGAAATCATAAAAAAGCATAACAGCAAACAATGCTCTCTCTGCCCTCCCCCCTCAAGGGAGTTCTGCATGTCTGATGAGCTGCTCAGCAGTGTGTGAGTGCGTTGTTGGGTTTATGCCGCTGATTTTTCCCATTAAGATTTTTCCTAACTAAAAAAATTGCATAAACCAATATTCAAGTAATGGAATAAATGCGAATTTATGGATTTCGTAGCATGTTATGTACAAAAACATTCTTATTCGTGTAAAAGCCGTGCGCATAAACGCAAATTGTATTGCCAGAGAAAAGTGAAAAGCTTTCTTCCTTCCCCCCTGCCTTTTGTTTTGTTTTCTGTATCTTGATCTTAAAAATGCTAAAAAAAAAAAGAAGTAACAATAGTAAATTAAACAAAATGCAAAAAAAGAAGAGAATTATTAGGAAAATTAGCGATCGACTTGTGAGAAATCTGATATAATTTGAGACTTTGGCGCAAGCGCAGCATGTTGACGTCAGAACAGCAACATGTTGCCAACGGCCTTTGAGTCGTACCTTCGGCAACATGTTGCTAGCACCTGGTTGGCTGTTTGCACTTCGGCTAGTTTGGGTGTATGTGTGTGTGTGCGCGCCGGATGCCGTCATCTTCGGCGCTTTGTTCTTGCCTCGGCCTTCGGGTTCTAAGTTCGTGTGCGTCACGAGCAAGCAGGCAGCTATGTTGCATGTTTTACGGTTTTTTGAGATTTTTAATTTTAATTTTTATTTTTATTTAATTAAAATTGTGACTTAAAATTAAAGTAAAAATTCAAAAAATATAAAAAATAATAATAAAAATATAAAATTAAAGTAAATATAAAATTTAAGCAGTAATTAGTAAAATTTAAACAGCACTAAAAAACCAAAAAAAATAACCTACTTAACCTCCAAAAATAAAAATTTAGAAATTTAAAAATATAATCACTTAGTTTAATAATAAATGCAACTTTTGTTATACACTTTTTCCTTAAGTATAAAATATGTTTTTTAGTTTCTTAACTTATCTTTTGCTGGCTGGTCATCTCTTTACCCGAGATGCCCAGCGCACGCTTGGCAACATTTTGTGAGCGAGTCGGCAACATTCCGCTACGCCTGCTCAACGAACGCTTGCGAGGCTTTTGCATTTTCAATTCAGTTCAACGTGAAGCGTTTGCGTGTGCGTTACGTTGGCGCGACTTTGGCTCCAGTTCAGTGATAGGAAATATCAGATACCAGATACCAGCTACCAGCTACCAGAACACCATCCTTGCTCCTCCAAAATCTCAACGTTCTCTAGTTCTGTGTTAGGACAAGTGTAATCACATTTTTTTTGTTAACATTTTTTTTTAAATTGTGCTAGAAACTATATAAATGTAAAAAAAAAAAGAAACAAAAACAGCCATTTGGTGTGCAAATTTCTGTTCTGTGTGCGTGATCTCAGCTCTGTGAGAGAGCTTCTTCTGTTTTCCCAGTGAGGAGGAGGAGGAGTCAATGTTGATTTTGGACTTACGCCCGTTAGGTCTTGTAGATCTAACCTTGTTACTTGAGATAAAGATCTAGTGGGTTTCCTTTAAGGTTTTCATAGACTTGGTTTTCCCCGGAATATCAAGATTTCCTTTAGTGATTTTTCAAAAGTTATTTTATTGGAATTTTTGTGATTTTTCACTCCAAGGAGTGTTAGGAAGTAAAGTTTGGCAACTTTAAAAAGAGGATAATCTATATCCATTAACTTTTCTGTTCTGTTAATATTGAAAAGGCTTCTAAAATCTAGAAAAGGCTATCAAAACTGCATTCCTTTTCGTATATTTCCCCAATGAAACTTCCCAAAAGCCCAAGTTTAGTTTTTCCCTCGCATTTCGTCTAAGAACATAACGTCAAACATGATCAGTATGGGAATCGAACAATGTTTGCCCAGCTCTGGCTCATTGGGAATGGATAAAACCAAATATTTGCCATCGGTTATTAATTTAGCTGGCTGACATGTTGTGGTTGGCCATGTTATTGTTGCTCTTGCGGTTGCATTTTGAGGTGGCTGCTATTAATGCCATTAATGTTGTGATTGTGATTGGGATTGCACGTTGCACGTTGCACGTTGCTGTTGGCGCTGCCATTGCCTGTTGCCAGGTCGTAAATCTCAATCAAAGAAGTTTGAGAAGCCCAGAGGTGGAGACTGGGCATATAAATCTC